ACCCCAGACCTGTGCTCTCACTAGCCCCCAGCCCTATTCTGTTCCGGCCACCTGGGGCCCCTGCCCCCAATAACCATCTGCCTCACTGTAGCCCAGACAACAGGGTCCCCTGGCCCTGCAATGACCCTCTGAGCCTCTCCATCCCAGACACCAGGGTTCCCTAACCCCCCAGTGACACCCTGACCCTCTATCCCGGACACCTGTGTCCCCGGCCGCTAGATCTGCTCCCTCCTCCATGGATTGTTTGGGATCTGGGCTGCGTCTTGCAGCTGGAAGGGCCAATTGGTGTCTCTCGCACCCATCCTCAGATGTGGGTGCCCCGGAGCAGGAGGTACCAGCCGAGCAGGGCGAGGAGGAGACCGGGGAGCCGGAGCCACCGTGCCCCACAGAGAGCGAGAGCTTCAGGATGACAGTGCCTGGCCAGGGGGGCCACACCTGTCGCTATGCATTTGTGAACAATTGCAAGACATTTTGGAGCGCCCAGGTGAGTGGATCAGGGGCACAGGTGGTGGGGAGGACTGGCAGATGAGTCAGAAAGTGGGGTGGGAAGCCCGTCGAGCTGGTGAATGGCCCATGGGGGCAGTGGAGGGGGTATGAGGCGGTGGAGGGGTGGAATAGGGGCGATGGAGGGGCCCATGCATGCAGTCGAGGCGGCGTGGGGGTGGTGAAGGGGGTATGAGGCAGTGGAGGGGGGGCATGGGCGATGGGAGGCCCATGGAGGCAGTGGAGGAGGCATGGGGATGGTAAAGGGGGCATGAGGTGTTGAAGGGGTGGCATAAGGGTGATGGAGGCAGTGGAGGAGGAAGGGGGCAGTGGAGGGGTTGAAGGGGTGACATGGGGGGGCATAGGGGCAGTGGATGTTGCATGGGGTGGTGGCGAGTGGCTGTGACTCTGTGCCTGGGCCCTGACTGCCCCATGTCCCCCTCTCCCCACAGAAAGTGTGTGCCCACTGCTACCGCGGCCGCCTGGCCTCCATCCACAACTATGCGACCAACCACCGCCTGAGCTGCATGGTTCGTGGCCGCACCAACCACGCCCAGGTGTGGATCGGGGGCTACACCTCCCGCTGGGTAAGGAGAGTGTCTGGCCCTGCTGCCCCCTTTCCCCCACTGCCTGGGCCTGGCTCAGAACCCCCCCCCCCCGACTCCCTCATCAGGGCCCTGCCAGCTCTGAGGCTGGCCTCCCCTCCAGTGCAGAGCAGACAGGGAGATCCATTCCCCACTGCGGCGCAGGGCGGCCCCAGCCAGGACCCCGCTCAGGGCTGCCCCAGACCACCCCGTGCTTGCCCCCAGGAGGTGGGCCTGGTAGCTCAGGTGTGGGTCCAGCTGACCCCCAGATGGCTGGCAGTCTCCTTGGGGCCCACTGACCTGGGT